ATACACTTAACCTGCTGGCATGCTTTGCTGTGGATGGATAAGACCCAGAACAGGAAGAAATGCTGTTTCAGGGTGCCCCAAATAGGTAATTAGGATGCTGTCAGTTGAAAGTGGTGAAGAAGTACACTCTTTAGCTTAAAGAACTGCTTTTGGGAGCCCTATCAGGGGACACCATGTGTGCCAGTTGGCAGTAGGAGAATTCAGAGGCAGAGAGGTGTGTAGATTGCCTTGCTTGCAGCCTGGGCAGGAGTTGTTCCCAGCCCTCTGGAAACCATGGTGAGCCTTTTATTATTTAAATTTCATTCCAGCAGGGGCAGGAAAAAGGACAAAATACTGAAAATAAAAGTTAATTAAAAAATAAAATCAAGCGAAATGTGTCTCCGAGGCCACCTCTGTTACAGAGGCCACCTGTCATTAAGCATTCTCATGTCTATAAACCTGAGACTGGAAGCCAATTGACACTTCTGTTGTTTAATTTTTAATGCCTCCTGTCTGGTCTCTGCCTCAGCTATTGTATGTGAAGGCTGTCCTGTGGATATGTCCCTGAGACAGAGCAATGTGAATCTCCCCACGAGTCGGCTAGCACCCACAGAGGAAGCCTGTAGCGAGTTACAACTCCCAGCTCTCTGGGGAACTGCTTCTTGCAATGGTACAGATGGGTCCCTTCACAGTTGATAAGTTTGTGCCAAAGGGAGGAAGGATGTATCCAGAAAAAAGGGGAACTAAAGGACAGATCTTCATCAGCAGGGCCTCTTCTTATCCATCTTCTTCATCTCTCTATTTGCAAGGCTTCCTCATTCAATATAAATGTGTTGGGCATCTGCCATGTGCCACACATCGCTTGCAACCTAAAGCCGTGATATAACATAAAAATGCTATCCTTAGGACCCAGGCATTGCCATAAGAGAAAGAAAAAAATACATTAGTAATTGGGGATGGGTCATCTTAAACAGTAGTACTAAAAATGTAGATATAGGTATCTATGAGTCTATATCTGTCTCTAACTCTACCTATATCTATATCCCTATCTATCTATCTATCTATCTATCTATCTATCTATCTATCTATCTATCATCTATCTATCTATCATCTATCCATCCATCCATCCATCCATCCATCCATCCATCCATCTATCCATCTATCTAACCATATACTGGTAGCATGGTGCCCAGGGAAAGGCAAAGATTTTTAGATTATTCCTGATTGTTAAACAGTAAGTTGAATGATAGGAAAAGTCAGAACTACCCAAATTACAGAGTGTGGTGCTTCTAGCAGGGGGTCGGGGGCTGTCAGTAGGTGGGAAGGCCCTGGGCTGGACAAGAGAACAGCTTCTTTGAGAAACAGAGATGACACTATGCTTCCATGTTCAGATCCATGCATGTGACAGATGGTCAGAAAATCAGACTTTAGAACACGGGGAAAGGAGCAGGCTTCAGCCCACAGATTAGACCTCAATCCATGGATCACAGCATATACTGTGATACTAGTGTCCTTCTTGCAAAAACAAAGGAAATGTGAGAGACTGTGAGGTTATATGCAGTGAGGGAGTTGGCCTCTGGGCACTCCCCGTTCTTATGAAGCGTATGCTCTCTTGCCTCAGCCTTGATCAGGATACCACCTAGTTCTCACTATAAAAATAGTGTGACTCCTAACGCCATCAGTGGCCTAGAGAATGGCACTTCCCTTCTGTCGCTGTGTTCCTTCCTTCTGCTCTTTTTCCTCCTTAAATCTCCTCATAATAGCCTCTATGTTCACTGTTTCTTCCTCTAGCTTCTATACTAAATTTTACCCCCCCCAACTCTTCTCCTTAGAATTCAAGCTATTCAGGGTGTGTTCTCTGTTAAATCAATTCAACATATATAAGCAATGATTTTACACAAAAATATTGTTAGCATGGGACTGCCCACATGCCTGCTGGTCTGCAGACCAAGATTTCACCTCTTTTCTCTGTCTAGGTAGCCCTGCTTCCCCAGCCCTCCTGCCTCCCCAGCCCTCCTGCCTCCCCAGCCCTCCTGCCTCCCCAGCCCTCCTGCCTCCCCAGCCCTCCTGCCTCCCCAGCCCTCCTGCCTCCCCAGCCCTCCTGCCTCCCCAGCCCTCCTGCCTCCCCAGCTCTCCTGTCTCCCCAGCTCTCCTGCCTCCCCAGCTCTCCTGCCTCCCCAGCTCTCAGCCCTGAAATAGGCTTTCAGAGTCCTTGGACACTACTTCATGTTTACGTAGCCTTCCTCATCATCCTAGCTAGATGTAGGAAGAAATCTTTCGTTTTGTAGGAGGAGACCCAGGCCTGGGATTGGATCAGCCTACAAAAGGTTGCAGCTAGACAAAGAGCATGCTAACGTAGGATATCTCCATGCGTATGTCTGAGCAGGACTGGAAGTTAGACAGAGGATTTCTAGTCATTCTTCTCTCCCTCCAGCTTTGAACAGCTACGAACTGCATAATGTTCTAGTTTCCTTAGGTTTTGCCTCTCTCAGATCCTCTCACCCACAATAAGACTCCATTCTCTTTCTTATCTAGCATTCTGAACAAAGTTAAAACTATTGGAGGGGTAAGGAGATAAACAAAACCAAGAATACATTTATGAAGTGAGGCCAGCAAAATGTACCATGTTGTAGCTTCTATCCTGAAAGTCATAAGTAGCAGCTAGTACGTAGAGTCTCACTTGGGGAGGACTTTAATTTAGTTGTCCCAGAATGTTTATAATGTAGAAATGAACCCTACATTAGTGCATCAGTGAGGGAAGCAGTTTCAGAGGGGGCCAGAATGAGATTAATGGGCCGCCTTGTGACTTCCCTAATTAAGACATTTGTCAATATGTTTTAATAGCTTTAAAGTACCTTGCATTATCAGAATTTGGCACACAGGCTGTTTTTATCTGCAGAGAAGAGAAACTTTCTGTTCTAAATTACACAGCATAGCATTTTTAAGGGTAGGTATGATCTTGTATTTTGTTAATTTTCTGTCCTTGTAATGCCAGCTCTTTGTGCAGTGTTGTAACTGGGACCCTGGGGAATGTCTGGTGTCTACTCAGATTAGATGACCACTGCAGTATTGAGAGGATTCTCAAGGAAAACTCAAGGCCTAGTCTTTGATAGCTTATGTGTGACCCTTGGACAAGAATCCCCAAGGCCACCCATGAGCTTGTGTACATACCCTGTTTGAGCCCAGCAGAATCTGTCATTCCACACATATCTTCCCTTTTACCTCCTAGAGTTCATTTCCCACATAGGTATGATAAGCATCCTGGAAGGCTTTCTGGTTTTTTTGTCGGTATTGTTGTTCATTTTTTTGTTTGTTGTTAATCTTTTACTTCCTTGTACTTGTATTTTTCTTCCTCACTTCAGCCATTTCAAGCATTGGGGCAGCTATTTCCAAGGTCAAGGTAACATGATGGATTTTCCTTGCAAATGTTTGTACTAATTTCACTTCTCTGTCCCTTAAGCTCTTTTGTCTCCCCTTCTATCACCAAAATATCACTCGCCATCTTTTCTTGGCTAGCCACTTATGGAATGTTCTGGTCAACTATGCAACCCTTATCACTAGGTCAATAGAGTGTCTTTCTGTGATCTCTGTGACATGTGACTTGTGAAATGCCTCACTGTGTGTCTCTTTGGCCATGCATCTTTGCATGGTCTCTTTGCCTCGAATGTGATTGGAGCAGGTAGCTCGCTCACCATAAGTGATTGTGGGGAAAGTGTAAAAGTAACTTTTGTTCTGTTGTTATTTATAGGCTTAGTGCCTCTGTCTGCTAACCTAAGCCTGGTACTGGAAGCTTCTAGCTGCCTTACAATCTTATCTAGGCCTAGAATGTTTTTAGTCTCTGAGACTTGCTGCTTATAAGCTCACTCTTTCTAGCTCTTTCTGATCTCTGGGTGGCTGGTTAAACATAGCTGTTCTGGCTCAAAACTCTTCTCCAAGCTGACTGATTCAATCCCCCCTCCCCCACCTCTCTCTTCCTCTCCTGAATTGCTCTGCTTGACCTCATACTAGTTTGGCAATCTGTTCTACTCTTCTGACTCCTTCTCATTCTCTGGCTTGTTCTGTCTTCACCTATGTCTAGCTGGTACTTTCTCTGAAACCTGTCTCTCTGTAGCTATCCTAGTAAAAATTGCCTCCTTCCCCTCTCAGTACTGGACTCTTAAGCAGCTTCCTTTACCTCTCTCTTCTCATGAGAGTTTGGCATTTCTCATTCCATCAAATCTTTCTCTGATTTGTCACTCTGTCTGCCCCTCAATTAGACATCACTTTCAAACCTAGGTGCTTCAGTCTACAAACTAACTTTACTTTCACTGTTTGAGATTAAAGGTGTATGCTAAGGGCTGAGCCACACCCCAATTAGAAACAGGTAACACAATCTTGGGGTTCACAGGAAAGTGATGGGCAGTCTACCAGCCATGCCTTTTGTCTTGCTCAGTTTGTATTCCAGCATCTTTTTTGGGTGACCTATTCTATTGGGCCTTTTCCCATGCTGTTCACTCCCATCTCAAAAGAATATGTGTTGAGGAACTACAGCATCCCACCAATGCGTGACCTAATTGTAGCTGATGGAATCTCTTGTGTCAGAAGATCTACCTATTAGATCCACATGGATTCTTGACCTACTGTGTTTAGGGGTAATTTGAAGTAATTAATAACTGATAAAGGCTCCTTGCATTTGAGACTGTAATGTGTATAGGACAAGAGGTAGGGGTTTGTGCCTGCTCTAAAATGATATAGAACATTCCAGCACAGGAGGGATTGCAGCTGTCTAACTACATCTGAGTGTCCTGCTATTCTTATATAGAGTGTAGAGCACATCTCTCAGTCTAGTTTGACTCTGGATGAAGAATTGTCTTAAGTTTATGAACAGTTCAACTTGCTTAGAGTTTAGGAAAACTTGGTAGTTGATGATTTTAAAGAGCTCCATTTTCCCCCTTATTTTTTTAATTGAAAATAGATTCTTCTCTTATACAGTACATTCCAACAACAGATTTCCCTCTCCTCTTTCCTCCCCTCTCCCCTAGATCCACTATCACTCCATATCTTCTTCAGGAAGTAACAGGCATCCAAGAGATTACCACCAAAGAGGTCGGAATAAGACAAGGTCAAAGCTGTCCTACCGAGACTGTCTCAACCAACCCAATAGGAGGAAAAGAATCTTGAGAGCAGGCAAAAGAGTCAGAAGAAGCACAAAACCAACAGCCACAGTATGTATGCTGAGGACCTGCTGAAGCTCCATGCAGGCTCTAATTGCTGCAAGAACAACATTTGAAGAGGTTGCTTTATGCTCCATCTCTGCCTGTCAGCTTATTGAATGCAGAGGACCCAGAAGAGGAGGACAAAAACTGACACGAGTGATACTCAGGCCAAATGACTACTGTGAAGGAAAAGGTTTCATAAGAGTCAAATAGGAGCTTTCACATCAGACTTTGTACAAACAAAGCTTAACTATTCTTTTTTTTGCATTTGATCCTTGAGTTATTGGTGATGCTCTTTATACAACTAACCTAAAAACGCTGACAAAATAATATTTTTCTCTATTTTATTTGATCTATATTTCTAATATGTTAGTAACACTTTACATTTATCCCCTGAAATAATTCCCTAAATGCTATTATACTTGGAGTAACATTTATTTATTTCTGTCATTTATTTGTTGCCGACAATTGGGCTTATATTAAGGTAGTTTTTCTGGTCAAAAAGAGGAAAATGAACTATAATGCTATGGAGTAATAGAAATATACAGTGGATACAGAGACCACTGGACAGCCATTTTCAGTACTGAGAACCTCCTGTGTTGCATTTATTCAGCGTCTGTTACACTGGAGAGGTAGAAAAGCATCCCAGTTTTGAAATACAAAGTTAACTCACAGTGCTATGCTATGCACAGAATATAAGAAGAGCTCTCATAGAAGGAAACTGTGCCTATCCTTTCAGAATTTGTTCAGTGAGACAACTGGTGGCTGGCGACGGAAAACACAGCATCACAAATTTATCAATCAGAGAGTGAATACTTTTTTCAAGCATGGAAGGCAGCATGGATGCCTGGCTGCACGGTGGATTCGGCTAGTGTTTTTGGAGCCCCCTCGGAGGGCAATAAGCACAGATGTTAGTGGGTAGAAATTAGTTATTAGACAGAAGCCTATATGTCCACCTGTTTGGTGTCTAATGCCTTGTTCTTTGCAGCTATAGTCCACCAGCAGTCTGCATTGTTAGGTGTTCAATGCTCAGCAAGCCGGGCAGTGGTGGCGCACGCCTTTAATCCCAGCACTTTGGAGCCAGAGGCAAAGGCAGGTAAATTTCTTAGTTCAAGGTGAGCCTGGTCTACAGAGTGAGTTCCAGGACACCCAGGGCTACACAGAGAAACCCTGTCTCAAAAAACAAAACAAACCAAACAAACAAACAAAAATTATCAGGGGTATAGCTCAGTGATAGAGAATTTGACTGCATAATACCTTTTCTATTCCTTTTTTGGGAGAATCTTTGAGATAGGACCAGTCTTGGTAACAAGACTAGCTCTTCGTTGAGAAGCAGGATATTTTTCCTGTGAGAATGGGTGCTGCTTCTTGTGATCTCACCCCTAATTTTCATGGAAGCAAGGGCCAGAGCACTTCCTGCCTGGTTGGGAGAAACTTGAGGACTGTTTACAAAGTTTGGCAGGTGCCTCTTATAGAGCACGTGGGGTATGGGGTTGAAGGTGGCTGCTTGGCCTTTAGTGGGAAGAGGAGATTCATGGCATTGGTGAGAGTTAACCTCAGTCAGCCTCAGCGATAGGAGACTGGGATATATCTGAAAGTACCTGTTTCAGCTGAGCTCTTGGGCCTGCTAATGTTTTATAACAGCCTGAGTGGATTAAGGTGATCTTTAACACTGACTCTTTATTTATGTAAAACTTTAACCATGAGGAGTTCAATATTAATTTTGCTTTATAAAATATTTGCATTAAAATGCTACTTGTGTTAATTGCTGACTTTCAACATTTTTGATGTCTCTTTAGTTCTGTGCTTCAGTTACTCCCAGCCCTTTCTTTACCCTTGCCTTTCCAAATTTAATACCACCACAATCCCCATTCAGTATTTCTTTATGGGAAGAGGAAGTACTAAACCCTCAGGATGATAATCAGTTGCCTGTGAAGCCTTCTGTCAGCAGGCAGGTACCTTAAACTCTTACACTTACTAAGAGCACACTTAGTGACCCAAATACAGTGCTAAAATTTGAAGGCTGTGCATTTACTGGAGGGAGGGTATATTCTTCACATGTCCTACCTACATAACTGTTCACAAGAGCTGGAAGGAAATCTGAAAGCATGGAGGGCCAGGCTGGTTCCTGGTTTGACATGCCAACTCCAACTGAACTTGTGTGGCTTCTAGGCACAGTATTTCAAGAAGCATTCTGACACCACATCTGGCTCCTGAATTGCTTAGTGATGTCACCTCCAGGGATCTACCAATTCCTGGAAGTTCAGAGCTACTGACATGACATGCCAAGATATCCGTCGCCAGAGGCAGCAAAGGCTTCCAATTTGGCAAGAGAATGGGGCTGTGCAGTCTTGCAGCACAAGAATGAAAGAACATAGAATACAGTCCTGTTTCTGCACACCTCCTGCCCACAACATAGAAAAAGGAGTTTTCAAGGTCTCTGCTGAGGTAAAGAGAGAAGGTTTCTCCTCTGGTAGGGAATAGGTAGTGGGAAAGTGGGCATGTGCCTTGAAATAATGTTAGTGTGGGCATGGTTAGAGCAGACAAGCATTGACTCCTCTCCAATTGTAAATGTGTATTCAGAGACCCGATAAAGTACTGGATCTATCTGAGCACAAAGCTGCCATGATAAAAAGCGCCTTAGGGTGGATGGCCCAGCTGGCTGGAGCAGGAACTGCCTTGGCCAATCAAAGTCAAACCAACTAGTAAGGAGGTAGGGATGCTTTTGACTAGAATGACACAGCTAAACAAGATGTCTACCCTGGGGACTAGAGGTTTTAGAGACAAATTAGGATAAGGTGAATGTCTTGACTAGGCTAGAAAACAGTATAAATTTAAACATAAGACATTAATGGTATTTCCTCTGAAGTTTAAACTATTTTAAGCAAAGGCTGTTCAATGTAATTAACCAGATTCAATGTGTTAGAGGAAGGGGGCATATCTATAGTATTATTTCCCTTTTAATGCAATTTCTCACTGATGTTTTTGCTTTGATCTTTTGTGGAGATAAAAACTAGCTTAACAACCTTGTACAAGGATTAGCAGACCTTGAATCAGTCAGCTAGGCTCTTGGGTGCCTTGTTGCTATATTGCAAGTGTGTACAACTCTTTCTCTGCCTCCCCCCATGTGTGTGTGTGTGTGTGTGTGGCTGTGTGCCTGTGTGTGATGTACACATCTTCAAAGAGGTCTGAGGAGGACACCAGCTGACTTGATCTATCACTTTCTTCTTGATTCTCCTGATACAGATTCTCTCATTCACCATGAAGCTCACAGTTTCCCAGCTAGGTTGGTTGGTCAGTAAACCCTAGCAATTCTCCTGTCTCTTCCATCCACAGTGCTGGGGCCCATACCCTGCATCTGTGTGTCCCTGGAATTCAGATACAATGGGCCTAGGGTTGCACTGCCTTATCTCCTGAGATGTTCCAATGGAGTTCCCACACAAAGCAGGAAAGGCAGCCATGACTGTTATTGGTGTTATTGATCTAGCCCTGTACTAAAAGATGTTTGCAGAACAGCCTTGAAAACTAAAGAGACAAGGTCAAAGCAAATGGCAGATTCAATCAATTTTGTAAAATAAATGTCTTTAGTGAAAAATAAAAGCATATTACTCTGAGCGCTATTTGGTTTTACAGAAATACAAAATACAATTTAATGCATTTCTCCCTCTGTTATTTGGGTGCCCCAGATTTGGAGGTGCATGACATACAAAAACCTTTAGATTGTTCCTTACCAGAAAGTATAAACAGAAAAATTCAACATGTCATGTTCTCTGTTTTCTCTCCTTCTTTAGCCATCCACTCATTCAACAAGTAACTGGACTCTTCTTCCATGGTAGACACTGAGGTAGATACATCAAGTGCACAGTCTCTTTCCTCCAAGATGTTTTAGTTTAGTGGGTGAAGCAATGTTGGGTAAATGAGGAGGCAATAAAGAGATGTGAAAATGGCTTTATAAAGAGTGAATTAGTTCACTTAAGAGTCTTCGAGAAGTCTGTGAGAAGAAGTATTTAAATTGTTGCAAATGGGGAAAGAACAGTATTCCAACTGATGAAGCAGGAGGTTACATCTGTAGAGAGCCAGTATGCCAGAGTCTGGAAACACATTTTTAGAGTCTTGTTATCCAAAATGTGATCCCTAATGCTAGGCCAGATAAATAAATGAATACATATACATAAATACATGAATAAATAAATAAAGAACAAACAAATCAGAAAAGGCTCCTCAGATAGGCAGCAGAGGTTTGGGGGGCTAAGTTCCAACGTTCTTCTGGAAGCAGTCTTGTATGGAAACTGCTGCTCATCAATTCTACAGGGCAGTGGCTCCTAGGCTCTATCTCAGCATCTTCCCACATATGGATATTCATTTACTGGCTCCAACAATGTGGTGTTAAATAGCTAACACCTGCTAGTGGATGAACTCTAGTTTCTTTTACTGACTTCTCAATCAACTATATTAAAGCACCATACTACATTGTTTTTGTGTCAGAAAAACAGGAGCAGCAACAATGGACTTAAGTGATAATCTGTCTTTTTATAACTTCAGGACCATGATGGGGAATCTGGGGAAGGCAGGTATTGCTCAGTCTATTTTGTGCCCAAACAGACTCTCCATGGTAACCCTCGTCTCACCTCCTGATCACCCGAACTGAGAAAGTGACTCTAAATTCACTGGCAAGGAAAGCAAGCCCCAGTTATCACTGGTAATATTTTTTACCATGCTTGAAGGTCACATGGGATTCAGGCAGGTACAATCCACCCTTAAGATAGCATGCTGCTGTTTTAATTATGAAAGTCACTAGTAGCCAAAAGAAAAAACCCTGGCGAGGAAAGAAAAAAATCCCAAACACTCCCACCAGTTGAATAGCCTTTGGCTGGAGCCTGGGGCTCAGGCATGGGCTTTCTAGGGTTAGTGATCAAAGCAGAGGCCTGGGCAGTGTGTAGAGACCCAGAGTTCTCATCCTCTTGACAGTGTGATTTCACAAACCAGTTTCTCTCTTCTCCTTCCCACCTCCTCTAGTACTGAGCAGTGACTATCTTGAAGAAATGGGCGGCTGGCAATAAGTATGCTTGTCTATTTCTCCCTTATGCTCTCAATGAAACGTGCTTATGGATATCAGATCTTACTCAGCTCTTGCTTAAAAGGAAGCCATGATTTGCTTGACAGAGTGCGTGTGTTTATTCTACTCACTGCTGTTTGAGGTGATTTGTTTTGCTAAGAACAGACAGAATGTACCGGTGTCTGCAACTTCACAGAAGCTCTGAGGCTGTGGTTCCTTGGGA